GAAGTGGTCGCTCCGTCTCTGTGAGCTGCTGGAGGGTGCAATTGTGCGTTTCTGGAACGTTTGGGAAGTTTGCTCTAAAACTGTCTGCGCCTGGTGTTTTCTTTGTGGGAAGACTTGACTACCAGCTCCGTTCCTCTGGTGGTCAACAGCTGTTCAAGTTCTCCATTTCTTCTTGAGTCAGCTTTGCTGCACTGCATTTTTCTGGAAGTGTGTCTGTTCATCTAAATGTCTGTATGTTCTTGTTGTTGGGTGCTGTCAAGTTGTCTCCGACTCATAGGAACCCTGTGCACAACAGAATGAAACCCTGCCTGGTCCGGCGCCAGCCCCACAACCCTTGCTACAGCTGCACCCATCATTGTAGCCCCGTGTCAGTCCATCTTGTTGAGGGCCTTCCCCTTTTTCACTGACCCTCCACTTTACCAAGTGTGACATCCTTCTCCAGGAAACGGGACCTACTGACAACATGATCAAAGTAGGTGAGACCAAGTCTGGCCATTCTCGCTTCCAAGGAGCATTCCGGCTGCACTTCCTCCAGGACAGATTTGTTAGATTGTTTTAGCAGTCCACGGTACTTTCAGCATTCTCTGCCAGCACCACAACTCAAAAGCAACGACTCTTCTTTGGTCTTCCTTATTCATTGTCCAGCTCTCACATGCATATGAGGAGATTGAAAACACCACGGCTTGGGGTGGTGTGTGCTGCAGTGTCTGTATGCGTCTGTAGGAACCAGCCTCGCGTTGTCAGGTGTGGCATGAAGGCAGGCTGCACGGTGGGTAGGAGCCCGCACTCGGAGACTGGGCTGCTTCCGTTCTGCTCCCTGGCTGCTCTGCTTACTGGCTGTGCCGCCCAGTCGCCTGACATGTGAGTGAGAAGAGACCTTCGTCGCTGGCTGTTGTGGCGATCACATGAGCCCACCCAGGGAGAGGGACTCGGATGTGCGGTGCCGGCTCGCGGTCAGGTCCGGAGCCCGCGTCAGCGCTGGTGGTGGGGGTGGTCCGTGATTCTGAATGGCAGCAGGGCCGGCCGCGTCCCCTTGGTTTCCCCGGTGCTCTGTGTTTCCGCCTCATTCCGTTCGTTTTCCACACCGTGCTGACACAGCCCAGAGCGGTTTTATAAGCGTTTGCCCGGCACTGGTTTGGCTTCTCGATCTTCTCCATCACACGCCGGTTTGGAACTCCATTCACTTCTCCTTGCACTTGGGTTATTTTCCTTCCCTCTTTTGAGTCAATGCTTTTCGTTGTCTTGCTCCCCGTTAGAGGCTTATCTCACTGATGCTCAGCTTCTGTTACTCCTGTGAAAGTGTTTAAGATGCGAAGTCACCACACAGTCACTGCTTTAGTTGAACGTCACACATTTAATAGGTACAATATTTGTGATCATTCCAAAGCGCTCTAATTTTCATTATGATTTCATTTTGGTACATGACGTAGTTACAAGTATATTTATAATTCCCAAACATACATGCTTTTTTCTGGTGGTTTTTGAAGAATCATTCCTACCTTGATTGCTTTGTTGTCAGAAAATGACCTATGGTCCTGACGGAGCCTGGTTCATGCTGGGGCTGCTTTAGGGCTGTGGGTGTGACTTGGTTCCCTGTCCCCTTACAGAGGAGGGCACAAACATGACCGTAACCTCGGCTGCACCCCCTAGGGGGTAGACTGCATTGGGGATATGAGATAAAACTGCAGAGAAGGGCCTCTTGGAAGCTTGTGAGCGGCCACATAAGGTGTAACTATCGGTCTCTCCCACTCTGAAGCAAGGAGTGAAAAAATCAAAGACGTATGGAAACATTAGTCTGAAGGACGAGTGGACCACACGAACCCCAGCTTCCACGACGTTGAGACAGAACTCGATGGCACCCAGTTCCCACTGCTGACGTTCTGAAAGGCATCACAGAGGAAGACCTTCGACAGAGTGGGAGAAAAATGCGGAGTGAAGCTCAAAATCTTAACAAGACCAGGCTTGCTGGTTGGTCTGATAGGGACAGGTGGGACCCCCAGGACTGGGCCCTTCGACACCCCTCCAGCCAGGAGCTGAACTCAGCCCCTGGCTCAGCTGTCAGCCGAACGAAGGCCAGGCCTGTGAGGTGGACAGTAACCTGAGGGAGGTCCACACTCCCTAAGACGATGTGCCCCAGGAGATGCAAGACCGCATTCCCAGGCATAAAGCCCAAGGGACAGGAAGGAGCCAGAAAGCACAGATGGCAGCAGGAAGCCCAGGGAGGAAGTGGGAAGAGAGCTGTTACATGGTTGGGATTGCAGTCAAGGTCGTGAAACAAAATGTGCATGAATTGTGGAGTGGAGAACTAAGCTCTGTAAACTTTCACCCAAATAATGAAAACAAACCAAAACAAACGGAAAACCCCCAACACACAGGAAGTCTCCAGCCCCCAAAACTCTGAGTCAAGTAGAACCAGGCCTCCCCAGAGAACAGGGAGGCCTCTCACCTGGGCTGACCTGACGGGTTGGGGGGAGGCGGCTGGATGGAGCCTTAGAGGCAGGTAAGAGTTGTGAAAGCCTCCAGGCGGTGGGCCCGGAAGAGACCCCCATTGGTGTTGCACTACTGAGTGCAGTAGCAGCCACTTTGACCAGAACTGTCAACTGCTAGCCTGCCAAGAAGCTGGCGGTTCAGTCCGACCCAGAGGCACCTTGGCAGACAGCCCTGGCGACGTGAGGAGTTCCGCTCTGCGCACATGGGTCGCGGCAAGTCGGAATCGACTCAGCAGCTGGTTTTACTGGTCGCTGCGGGCCAAGCGGTTTCCGTGGTGACCCTGGAGGCCCCATCGTGAGTTCGGTTCATGATCTCTCATTGTTAACAGGAAGCATCCCCAAGCTGCTGGCAGGTTGCGCCCTTCATGGGCCTTCAGTCAAGGGGAGGAGCCCCAGATCTCCGCCACCGTGGCCAAGCCTGTGAGCAGACAGATGGAGAGATGGCTCCCAGTCCCGTGAAAATACCAGCTGAGGCCACCCCAGCCCGGGATGGGGCAGAGGACGGTGAGGCCCAACGGGCACTGGGAATGGAGGGGTGGCTGTCCGTGCTCCCGGGAGCACCAGCCACGCCAGCGGCGGGAAGGCTGGCAGTGAGCCTGGGGACTCGGGAATGTTCTGTCTCATGGCCCAGCCGGGCCTCTCCTCCAACTCCCAGGAGGTAAGCAGAGCCCTGGAACTGACCGCAGCGTGATTTACGAGAGGTGACGTGGAGTCGTGTCTGTATCCAGCTCAGGGGAGTGGGTGAGCAGACCACAGGCAGGACGGAATTCGGACCCGGGGTCTGAGCAAGGTCCGGCCCTAAGGGCGTCGGCTGGCAGGTGCACACCTTTCTTGTCTTGAAGCCTCCTCAGTGATTTTAAAGGCACCTGTGCAGCAGGTGAAGGCAGCCGTGATAGAGGACGTGTTGGGAGGATGGTTGGTCATTGGCTTCCAAGCGAGGACAGACTTACATCAATTAAAGGGCAGACGAGAGCTGTCCTAAGTTGGACGTTCGTAACTCGGGGACTGCCTTCTGACGCAAGCCGCGTGAGCTGGGCTTGCCTGGTGCAGACGGTCGCCAGGTGGGTGAAGGAGGGAGTGGGTGAAGGAGTGGTTGCCAGGCCCCTGCAGTGCTTCACGGCCCTGCCCGGCTGGGCACGCTGTGCTCGGTGTTGGGGCTCTGCCCAGCCTGGGCACGGTGTGCCCAGTGTTGGGTGCTCTGTGCACACGCAGAGACACACTCGTCTTGGCACCTGTCTTGTCCTGTCCCTCCCTTGCCTCTAGGAGCTGGTGCTCGGGGGACAAGTGGTCAGCACCCCAGGAGCAGGGGCCAACCTGCTCAGCTGTGAGGGCCCAGGGACCTCTGTCTCAGCCTGTGGAGCCAGTAAGGGGCCAGTGCCGTGTGGGTGGCCCTGTCTGGAGCCAGGAGGGATGGTGGCCTGCCGGGACCTTGTTCACCCCAACACGTGTCCCTTCGTGCCCGTCATGCTGGCTGCCTCATCATCTCAGAAGGGCATAGGCTGAGCAGGACGCCGGCTCTCAGGCAGGGATATGAAACTGGCAGCTTTGGGACAAAGGGCTGCTCCAAAGAGCTGTCCTGTGGGGACCTTACAGAGACTGTCACCGGGGCCAGAAACTGTGTCTGTGTCGGCCCCCTCACCCCCCGCCACTGAAACCTGTCTTGGAAGCTGCCTGATGTCTCTGTTGGGAGGGACCTTGGAGAGGAGGTGTCATGCGGTCCACAGTCAGGCAAGGGGACAGTCTGTGACCCCCCGAGTACACGCCGCACCCCTTGAGCCGAAGGCCCTTGAACTGAAAGGCACATCTCAGCTCCAGACCAAGCACCAAACCAAAGCCACTGCTATTGAGTCAATTCCGACTCACAGTGACCCCCTTTGGGTTTCTGAGGGGCTAAATCTTTATGGAAGTAGACTGCCCAGTCTTCCTTCCATGGAGGGTTTGGTGGGTTTGAACCGTCAACCTTCTGATTAGCAGTCACATGCCTTAGGCAGATGTTAAATATCTTCATAAAGAAGGTCTTAGGATGATGGATTTCAGACGAAGGTGCCCAGAGACGTTGTCAGAGAAACAAGCATCATCAGAGTGGACGTGACGCGGAGTGTCCCTGGGCCGAACCTCGCGAGTGCCGTCTGGATGTGGGCAGGTCCATGTGCAGGGAGAGGGTTCTTTCCACTGCCGCTGTGGCACAGACCAGGCTTCTGCAAAACCCTGGAAAGCGTCCCACGCTTGGACGTGGTGGAAGTCCGGAATGGCGGTAAAGGTCTGCAGTCCTTGCTCTCTGCTCTTGCACTCTGTCACAGCAGTGCTAACCCATCTCCTGGTCCTCAGGCCACCGCCGGGGCCCTGCTGGGGCTCCTCACCTGGAAGGGATGACCTTTCATGGAGCTGAGCTCAGGAGAGGTGCCGAATGTCTGAATATCGGTGCTCCGTGTGAGCAGAGCCAAAGGAGGGGATGTTCTGGGGCCACAGCAGCCAGGGTGGGCTTCCTGGTAGAGGTTTCCTGCTCGTGGGATGAACCGCATGGGGCTGCGCACCACACTGTGGCCGGCGGGAGTAACCGTGGCTGTCCTTGCTGTCGTAGAGTGCGCTAAGTGTTGGAGGGAGTATGGAATCCGCCACTTCCCCTGCCCATCGCCAGAGCGCATCCCACAGGACCCCCACACGGGCAAGGACGGGGAAGGCCGCCTGGGGCCGGCAGTGGGCACGCCCAGAGGCCCACGGGCCTGGAAGCGAGGTATTTCCCCTCAGATGTGCTTGGGGTCCCAGGAAGGTCCCCCAGAGTTGCAGGAGGAACAGAAGCTGGGCTTCAGGTGGCAGGCCTTGGTGGCATTGAGCTCGGGGTACAGAGACTGACGTGGGGCCTGTGGCCACCCTGCACTGTGCAGAGGCTGGAGGGCAGCGGGGGTGGCATGATGACTGGGGCTGGGGGCGCTGAGGGTGCTGAGGGAGGAGGGAGGGATCAAGGGGGCTGCTCCCCGGAGCTGGGGTCTCCCTGCAGGCCTCTGCTGAGGGAGGTGAGGGGCCCTGAGACCGGGGCACTGGCTAAGGGAAGACTGGGCCAGAGCAGCTGTCCTGACCGCCTCTCCCCACACATGGCTCAGACATGACCTGTCTGCCAGGCCCTTAGTGGTGGGGACCAGCCCTTTCCCATGGTTGATGGGGGAGCTGGCCCCTGGCCTCGCAGACCCTTCAGGGGTGCATTGTAAGGGGCACCACCAAGGTGGCCTGGTCCCCACCTTCAGAAGGGCACGGTCTGAGGGGTGGGCAGTCAGAGGGACCCTGCCTGGGACTGTGTCGGGAGCTGGAGAGGAGGGTTGTGGGTCAACAGAGGGGCTCTGTGACATGTGGGGGCGAGGTCAGCGCTGTCAGGGGCTTCCCGGTCCAGGCAGGGGATGGGCTGCATCCCCAGACAGTGTGCGTATGGCGCCCTCTGGAGGCGCGGGGTCCTGCACAGACGTGGCTGGCCTAGCCCGAGGCTGGGGCCTGGCGGACCACACATCTTGGCCCCTTTGCCTCCGTGGGTGCAGTTGTGGTCTCTGCTGGGGGATGAGGATGCGGTGGCACCCAGCCGGGCCGAGGCGTGGACGGTGGCGGGCGGGAGGGCCGGGAGGGCCAGGAGGGCAGCGGCATCCTGAAACAAGCTGCACAGAGTGCCGGACGACACCAGAGCAGCCGCCGCCCTGCCGGCCCGGGACCTTCAACACCTGCCCTTCGGTGCCGTTCCAGGGCCAGGAGTCACGTCTGAAGGCAGCTGGACACCTGAGCCCACTGCGGCTGCCGGGCCCCTGGGCCGCATGGCAGGGCCCAGCGCGGCCCGGGCCAAGAAGAGGAAGCCCAACTTCTGCCCGCAGGAGACGGAGGTGCTGGTGGCCAAGGTCAGCAAGCACCACCAGCTGCTGTTCGGCTCGGGGCTGCGCAAGGCCGAGCCGGCTCGCAAGTACCGCGTGTGGGGCCGCATCCTGCAGGCCGTGAACGCGCTGGGCTACTGCCGCCGCGACGTCGTCGACCTCAAGCACAAGTGGCGGGACCTGCGGGCTGTGGTGCGGCGCAAGCTGAGTGAGCTGCGTGGGGCGGCGCCCGGGCCCGGCGCCGGCAAGCCCCAGGCCCTGACCCTCACGCCCGTGGAGCAGGTGGTGGCCGAGACCTTCTCCTGTCAGGCCCTGGCCCCCGAGGGCTGCGGCCTGGAGCCGACCAGAGGTGAGTTCCTGCCAGCTCAGCCCGCGGGGCCACCCTGCTCCTGGCCTCTGACACTGGGCCCTGTTTGCATCTCATTGCGGGCTGCCTGCCCCTCCTCCTCCACAGAGACCTTTCCTTCCTCCTCCTCCCTCCTCCCTCTTCTGTCCTCCCTTCTCCTCCCTCCTCCCCTCTTCCCTCCTCCCTCCTCCCTCCTCCTCTCCCCCCACAAGGCCTTCTTCCTCCTCTTTCTCCTCCTTCCCCATCTCCTCTTCCTCTCTCCTCTTCCTCGTCTTCGCCATCACCATCAGCATCCACACCGTTTTTCCCCATTCATCTCTTTCTCAGTGATCTGCCCACCCACCCGTCCATCCTTGCACTTGGCAGACATCCTTACCGAGGGGACTTCCCACTTAGCTCCTGCCTTAGCCCTGGTCCTTCTCCGTCTCAGAGCTGAGAGCCAAGCTCACAGTGATGAGTGAGAGGTGCCCTGCGGTCCCAGGGCCAGCCTCGGGACTGTGGGGTGGATGGTGCAGCCCAGCGTGCACACGCCGCTGCAAGGCCGGCTTCGCAGACGGTGCTCCAGGGTGGGCTCTCCTCGCTCACACTCTGCCCTCCTGTCGGTCCGTTCTGGCCTCTCCCCAGAAGCTGCTCATGGTGACTTGACCTGTGGCCTGGGTCTCAGCCTGTGGTGCCCAGTGATGGTTTAACTCCCAGAAGTGACCTCACAGCAGGCTGGGCGCCCCGGGAGGCCGAGGTGGGCAGCCTGAAACTTGGGAGGAGGGGCCTGGCCCAGGGCCGTCTGGGCAGAGCCTCTCCCCAGGCCGTCTGCCCAGGAGAACATCTTGGCCGGGCTCGGACTTCTCCACGGAAGGCTTCGTGCTAGGCCACGGTCTGGGGGTTCAGGGTGCAGGCAGTGCTGGCCCATGCTCCCAGCAGCAGCCCCCATCACCCTGCTGAGCTGCTCTGAGATCACGGTGCCCCTCTCCCTACGCTGTGCTCCGCCCGTGGGAGGATGGGTCCCGCTCTGCCAAGGAGCTGCCCAGGCCTGTGTCGCCGTCTGGGGTGGGGGTGGCTAGAGCACAGTGCAGCAGGTCAGGCCGAGACCCCCTCTCCCCCAGGATGTCGTCTTGGCCCTGACCCTGTGCCGGAGCCTGGGGTCAGGAGGATGGAGGCCCACCCTGCTGGACACGGTGGAGCTGGTGGGGCCTGGACGTCCGGCCGCCAGGTACCCAGGCCCCCACTGGAGCATGCTGGAATGAGGCAGACGTGCAGCGGAGCCTGGTGGGGCCCTCGTGGCAGGAGCATGCTGGGCTGGCCCCCCAGTGCAGCAGGGAGGGGTCTCCACGTAACAGCCCCTTTCAGCAGCCCCCTTCTCGGCGGGGCCTGGAGAAGGGCATCGTCTAAAGCGTGCCCTGTGCACAGGAGTGAACCCTGTCTTCACCCCAGCCCCCCGTTCTGCTCTGTGCTCTGTGGGGATGGCTGGTTCATTCTTACAGCTGCGCATGTCAAGATGGTCAGACAGCACTGTCGGGGCTGTGACTGCCTAGGTGGCAGTGGGGGGAGGGCACTGTCGTCACGGAGCCGTGGCCATGCCCGAGTGACGATGGTGCAGACAGCAGTGTTGTC